TTTGAAATGGTTTGGGAATGTTTAGCCCCTAGCCCTTCTCATCCACTTCTTCTTCTCTATTTCTTTGTTTCTTCCTTTCCCTCTTCTCTCTTCCTTTCCTTCTTTTCCTCTTGTTTCTCTTTCTCTCCTCCTCATTTTCTTCCCTTCACTCTCCTCGTCTTCAATTAAATAGAAAACAACTGCAAGGACCTGTGATGGTCATGTCTTCATTGGCAATTCAGAAGATAACTTCCTTTTTCATTAGTACCTGTTTGCAGAACAGGTGGTCTACAGTCACCTTGGAGAGAGGTCCCCGTATCTACTACAGCTTGGTTCTTTTAAGGTTCCCTCCCCTCCCTGCCGCCTCCCTCTCTCCTCCTCTGATTCCCTTTCCCCGTTTTCATTCTTCTTGATATTTCTAATCTTGGCACACATCCAGGAGGTTAGTGGGGTCCTGTACACGGCATAAAGTCTTGCAAGGAAACAGCTAGGGCAGGGTTGTTAGGAAGGGAACAGGCGTCACCTCTGCTTCTCTAAATACAGAAAAGACCACAGGTGCTTCGAAAAAGAGCCGGTAGGATGAATGCTCCTGTGTTGCTTTAAACAAGGGAGGTTTCTATCTGCAGCTGAGAAAGGGGAATGAACACTGACCCCTAGAAATGGACCAGCTAAAGGCAAAGCCAGTCACAGTGCTGAGGCCCTGCCGGCCCGGCCTTGTCCAGGGCTTGAGAACAGAAGGCCAACATCAAAGCCACTCTGATTCCCCCGACACCGGGCGGGAGCTGTAGTTGAGGGTCGGTGGCCACTTTGCTAAGGTCTGAGGCCAGATACCACCGAGGGGCCTCTTTCCTGCCTGGCAGTTGGCACACTGCTTCCCCAATGCGTTCTGTATGCTCGCTCCTTACTTACCTCTGCACTGGATGCCCTGACTGAGGCTGTCTCTGTGTGTCCCAGAAGGGTAGGGCCTCCTAGGCGAAACTGCATGTGAAAATTGCTTATCTTCTTGCTAAATTTTTCTTTTAAAGAAATATTTTTAGATGCTTTATGGTTTTGTTCTACTTGAACAGTAAGAGTGACCTATTTTCTTATATAATCTCTTTGTATTCATGTACTGTAAATCTATGTTATATTCCGTATGTTAAGCTCTCTGTATTTTTCTTTGGCTGCCAGGATGCTTGAAGCTGAACTCAAGATCCTCCCAGAGCAGCCCTGCCGGTCCTTGTGGTGTGTGCCATGGTGCCCTTCTCAATTCTTGGTCTTATTTGTATTTCATTTTTGGTCTGGGGTTTTTGACCTCCCACCTCCTCACCCCTATAACGTGTGCTGTGCTGTCCTGAGGCACAGTCTCGACTCTCCTGCAAGAGTGGTGTCTGTGCAGACTGGCGTCACCTGAGCTCCGGTCCCCTGGCCGACCTGTGCCAGCCTCCTGCCTCTCCTCCTCCAGCCGCGCTGCTAGAGTTTCCTGCTTAGCGCTCAGCTGGAGCGTGATGCCCTCTGCCTCAAACCCCGCCGTGCGTCCTCTCTCTGAGCCGACCACGCCATCCATGATCAGCCCTTATTTAGAGCTTAGAACACATTTTTGTCATAAAGAGGTAAAAACATGGGCGTGTCAAAGTCATGGTTATTTTTTAGACCGTTTCTATTGATGAATTATTAATTTTATGAGTTTTATTACATTAAACAATGAGAGCTTAACATGAAAAAAATCATAAACAAATTATTGCATTTTCTTATATGTATTGAATGTTTATAAAAAAGCATAAAAATTTTCAACATTGACTGGTTTTTGGTGTACAAAGTCTAAAAAAATGCCAGAAATTCCTATATGAACTACAATGAAAAAACCAATAGCACTCTACAAAAAATGATCTTTACTTCAACTATCACACCTAAGGCAGTCTTCACACCTGACAACAGCACGTTCCACACACACATATTGCTTACACTGACAGCACGTGTGCTTCGCTTTCCTGGCCTTTGTGTAGGACACACTTGATATCTTGCTAGTCTGGCAGTTTTGTCAAGAGGTTCTTATAATTATACAATGTTTAGTTAGCAGGAACATAACATATCAATAAAATAAAGGTCTAAATTATTAATATGTATTGTCTGTTTAGAATAAACATTAACATTTTCCCAAGCTGTGGACTTGCTTACAAAACCTAAAAGATAACATCAGAAATAAAAACCTATGTGAACTGCAGTCAAAATACCAATAAAACTCTACAACACAGATAATCTTCAACTGTCACATCCAAGGCAGATTCCATACATGACAACTGCATGTTCCATGCACACGTCTGCTTACACTGACAGCACATGTGCTAAGCTTTTCTTTCCTACGTGGCAGGCCATTCTTGTCACCTCTCTTCTCTTTCTGTCCTATGTTGTACAATGTACACTTAGCAGGGACATAAGATATCAATAAAATAAAATAACAAACGTGTAATGAATGCTCAGAATAAACATCAACACTTTCACATCAGGTGTTTACTTGCTTACAAAAACTAAAAGATGATATCGGAAATAAAAACCTATGAGAACTACAGTGAAAATACCAATAGAATGCTACAACAAAAGTAATATTGCCTTCAACTGCCACACCCAAATCAGTCTTTACACATGAAAATTGCATATTCCATACACAAGTATTGCCTTCACTGATGGCACGTATGTTTTGTTTTCCTGTCCTTTCCTGTAGGGCACAGCTGACATCTTTTTGGTTTTCCTGTTGTCATAGAAGGTCTTTGGGATGCTGCACCTGCCTGTTCACCTGTCAGCTTACCACTGTGCTCCACAAGTTTTTGTATAGTTCCCTAGGCAGAAAGATTTTGTTTTTCCTCTGCTGTAAATGATCTTTTATGAATTCCAGTCTCCATCCTCTAAGAAAATTTCTCTGGTATTTTGCACTTGTTATTTTGTTTGTAAACTATCAGAATATTTATGCCACACATGTTTAGGATCAAGTAAAACACAACCATTGGCCAGTGCTTTGTGTTTTGAGTGACATTACAGCTGCTGTGTCAATATCTACTCTGCCTTTGGTTTTGTTATAGAAAGTTTCCATTTCAGGCTTTCATTTTGTTGCGGTTTCCCTATCAGTATTTTCAGCATGGTGCAGTGTTGACATCAGCAGTACCAGTTTGTTTTTCTTTGCCGTCTATGAGATCAGTGTAAATCTTTCTGAAATACAAAAATTGTACTATACAATTCTCTGTTTTGAAATTGCGACATTTCATTTGGAATTTCTTTTTTGTAGAATTGTAGAGTTTTTGTAGAATTTCAGTACAGTTCCTGCACTGGTCAACTTGTGCCCTGTTAGTATCAGTTGGAAACTAGTAGACCAATTGTCGAATGTCATATTCTGATTAGTTTGGGAGATGGGAGTAACAAGTCTGTTCACAACATCATTCAGTTTATTACTATTTGCATAAGGATCTGATGGCTGAGTTCCAGGATAAATTTCTAAATTGAAAGCATAATAAGTCTTTGCATCTGCAAGGGCATAAATTTTAATTTTTTATTTTTATTTTTTTTTTTAAATTTTTACTTTTGGTGCCGGGCATTGAACTCGGGTCCTTGCTCTTGTGAAGCAGGTTCAGGCTGGGTCCTTAACTTGCAGTGAGTGCTATCTTGAGATATGGATCTTAGCCTTCTGGATTTTAAGTGAGAATGTTAGATTTGAGCCTCCAGCTGTCCTTCTAATCAGCTCTCTGATTCTAAATAGAATTGTCATGGTTATATCTAGGTGTCCCCAAGAACCCCATGGGCTCATAGGTGGGGCTTTGGAGAGATTGGAACATGGGGCTTAGAGCCGACTTGCTCTTGGGAAGTGGCAGGAAGAGGTCAGGATCCGGAAGGGTGCAGCTCCCTCACTCTGCTTCCTGGCCCCCATGAGGTGGCAGCTTTTCCTCCGCCAGGCCCTCTGCCATGCTGTTCTGCCTCAGAGGCGGCCCGCTCTGCACTGAAACGTGAGCCAAAATAAACCTCTCCTCTCTTAAATTTTGGGGCTCGGTGTTTGTCCCAGCAATGAGGAATGTGGCTAGGGCAAGGATGTTCTTAGAAAGAGTAAATGGTGATATCAGATCTCATTCATTTTTTCCTTATCAAGCATCTAATAAATGCCAAGTATTGCATGGCTGAGGGATGGAGAGAAGACACAGAGACCAAGAAGCAATTACTTTGCCAGCAGAGCATATAGCTCACATAAGTCCCATAGAGCAAGGTAGAAATCCACACAAGACACACAGATCGGGGCCTCCATGCCAGGGCGAGGCATCCTCAGATAGCATCTGGCCTCTGCCCCTAAAGCGCTCCATGAACAGGGCCACTGCTCCTCACAGCTGGGGTCCAAGCCCTTCTGTAGACCCTGGACTCAGCCAGATCCTCAGGTGTCAAACTCGAGAATCACAGATCTGCTCCCACTCGTTTCTGGGCAAGGCTGTTGGCCAGGAAGGGTGGGATAGCGTGGCTGGCTTCGTGGGAGAGCCCCTGTCTTGGTGGGGTCACACTGCATTACCCCTTTCTGGGAGGGGGGACAGCAGTGATTGAAACTACACTCGGTTCACTTACTCCATGAACTTAAAGTCTGCAACTCGTGCCAGACGGGGGGGATGCAACAGATTACAGGTACGATCCATGGTCACAGTGCTAACTGCTGTTGTTCTCTAATAAAATCAATGCTGTTTCTCATCCCTACTTGTTGGCAATCACCAAAAAGGAGAGGAAGCCTCCGACCTCAGTGAAAGCAATTCCCAGGCTAGGCTTGAGTCCCTTGCACCAAATCCATTGCCACCAAAGCAGGAAAACAACATGAGACCTCTGAGCATGCGCCGTAGTGAGAGAGGAAAGGCACCCGTGGAAAGGGCCCCCGAAAAGGGCACTGGAGGCCAAATGGAGGCAGGAAGGTGGAGATGAGACTCCAGTTTCTCAGTGAGACTGGGGACTAACTGCTAGAAATAGTCTTACTCAGTTTGGTGGAGAATTCACAGGGTTAATGACTGAAGAATGGAGTTCTTGTAATCAATATAGTCCTCTGGCTTTATTGATTAGAATCACCTGCTTATTTTGCAGCTAAGATTTTTTTTTTTTTTTTTAATCCCATTCAAAACAAAGACACCCTAGGGGACCATTAAGTAAATAGGCATTTAAGACTTTTTTCACTGCTAAGAAAGTAGTTAATTATTATTAGTGCCCAAAAGTCTCAATTTAGACAGAACACCTGAATGAACACTCTGGTGAAATGGCGGTGACATGTTTCCCACGGAGGCCAATTTGCAGTTTATTGAAAAAAATTCGGCTTCCTCCTTAGGGTTGCTGGGCAGGGGCCCGACTCGGCGTTTAACGGAGATTTGACAGAGCTCTTCTTTCAAGGTGCCGAGGAGCAGAAATCTCGCCAAACATCACGGTGCACTCATGCTGTCCACTCCAGAGCCTGTCTGAAGAAATGGATCACTGGTGTGAGAGTTCCGTTAAAGACACTGGGTCAATTTTATTCTATTTCAACATTCATTGTTCTGCTCCAGGAAAACAAATCAAATGCAGATGCCTGGCATTCACTGAATAACTGGTTTCTGCTGTTCCAGAAAACACTCAGGATTTAACATCCCTTAATGATCTGTCTTTTTTCTTTTTGCTTGATAATTTTGGAAATCAATGAGCACACATCTTTATGGAGCACCTACTATGTGTAAAGTGCTTGCATAGTGCTTTTGAAGTATGATGATCGCACCTTGAGCTTACTTGTGTTTTAGTGTTTGCAGAGGGCTTTCTATATTTGACTCCGGTCACCTCCTCCAGGGGTTCATAGGGAAGTGGATTGATTACTTGCTACATTTTACAGATGAATAAACTTAACAGATTTCTGTGACATACAGAGCTGTCTCATAACTCAGCAATTCCGTTCCTAGGTATCCAGAGAACTGAAAACACACACTCACAAAACTGTCACATGCACATTCATAGCAGTGTCACTCCCGGAAGCCCCTGACTAGGGACAGCCCGAGTGACCATCAGCGGACGAATGTGTGCAGAAGAGCTGGCGAGCCCCTCCGGAGCGATACTTAGCAGGGAGTCAGTGTTGGTGCCAGCTTCAGCACAGAGGGACTTTGGACACACTATCATGAGTGGAAGAAGCCAGACACCAACAGTCACAATTACATGACCATGCCTCCATGCACTCTTCAAAGCGGGCAAATCCACAGACAGAAGACAGACTAGTCATGGCCTCAGCCAGGAAGGGGAAGTGGAGAGGCTCTGCTCCTGGGGTGGGGCTGTGCTAGAATGATGGACATGTTCTGGGGTTCATAGCTCTGGGGTTCTGGGACATCATACAGCCTTAGAAAGACACCAAAAGCGTCAGATTTCACACGATAACCTGCATGCATATCTCAATTAAAAATGGGAACGTTTTCAGCAGTGACTTACCAGGTGGCATAAGTGAGGTAAGAACGCGTGGTTCTGAATGACAAACCCATGTCCAGGTTCTGTGTTCAGGCAGGTGTTCAACATCGAGTCAAAGTCCACCGTTAGGTTCAGGTTCTGTCTGTGGTATATTCTAACAAACACCTCCTGAGTTAAACCGGAAGTGCACTATTTACCCTTGGGGAACTTGCATGTACAAACATAAAAAGAAAAATACTGGGCAGTAAGAGTGGATGGCGTAAGAGTCCTCACCTGTGTGAGGTTTCTGAGACCCCTGGAGGTTTGTGGGTCCCTGTGATTGCATAGGATCCTGTGACTTCTAGGACGTTAGGTGTGGAGGAGACTCACCGTCTCTGGGGTTCTTCTTATTCTGTGGGAGAATCGTGTTTTCCAACACCGTGCAGCAGCTCTGCTGCACACCTAGTTCTGATCAGGGGTAAGAGAGCAGTCATATCACTTCTGGATGAAGCACTGAGTTGCCAAGGTAAGCCCCGCAGCGTGCTCGGCCCCCACTGTGAGGTCCAGGAGGCCCGAGACAGCTCGGCATCAGCCTGGGTCTTAAGTTGCTGCATGGAAGCCAGTGGCTCTGGTCAGCTGCCACCTGCGAGGGCCTTCGAATCCTTGACAAAGCAACTTTGCCGTGTTGAGCCATGGAGACGCTGGGGTGCTGGCTTCTGCAGAGTGGCCCTGTGGTCCTTAGCTGGGAATTCTGGTGGTCAGCTGGGCTTGGGCACTGGTGGTAGAGATAACCAATTCTAAGGAACTGAGGAGCGAGAGGTCCAAGTGGGGGCCATCAGAAAAGGTTTAATGGAGGCATGTGAGTTGGGCCTTGAATGACAGTGAGGTCGGGATCAGGAGGGGTCTGTAGGACACTGCTGGGGGACACCCCAGAAATTACACCAAGGGTGCACACTCATACAGAGAAGCACAGTTGCTTTCTTTTGGAAAACCGATGCATGTCCTTTTGAATGTGCTGGGGCTCTGCTTTCTGGTTGGACAAGCTGGAAAAGCGGCTTGCCTGCCAGGCGGTGCACAGGTGAGGAATCGTTTCAGTGACTTGTCTGTCCCTGTGGACAAACAGGCTCCCCACTGTCCGCAGAAGCCACAAAAGTGTGGCTGGGTGGTCAGGGTGGGTGAGCTGAGGGAAGATGTGGGAGTCACCTCCCCACTCGAGGGTGAGACTGCTCTGGGTGGTGAGGAGCTCAGCGGCCTTGGACTGTCTCCCTCCCGTCATTGGGCCGGGAATGCTGTAACTTGTTAGTCTGTCTGCTCCTGACCAAGCTGCTTAACTGCCTTCCCTGGAAAGAAAGGGAGATGGACACAAACCTTTCCACCTCTCCGATGTCCACGAGATCTCCCTCCAACCAGTCTTATTCTGTGCAGCAAGAAATTGCTCAAGGAAGGGGCCGTGAGCAACTGGATTCTGACAAAGCCCACACCGATTTCCTTCAGAGTGGACACTGGGTGTGGGCAGAAGTGTGGGGCCTGAGCTTGGAGGGGTCTGACTTGGAAGAAGGGTCCAGGCAAGAGCTGGCCTGATTTTTTTTTGAGACAGAGTCCTGCTCTGTTCTCCAAGCTGACCTTGAACTCACCACGGGGCCCAGGCTGGCCTCCTGCCTCAGCCTCCCCAGTTCGGGGATTATAGGTGTGTGCCATCGGGCCTGCCCGGGGCTGCTTTGAGGTTGGAGGAAGCAGTTCACGAACCGTTGTGGGTGGACAGGAACTTCCCACCAGGGTCCCCAGCAAGGAGCAGGGCCTTGCAGAGACCTGGGTCTTAGCCCGCTGAGGTGCGTGCCAGACTTTGAGTACAGGACAGTGAGCTATTGCAGGGGCTGTTTGAAGCCACTCAGGCTGTGGTCACTGTCACAGTGGCCACAGACAATGGCCACGTCCTCCCGGGGTATTGGATGGGAGGAGCAGTTATCCTGAAGGAGCAATGGTGGAGGACAGCTGAGGTCACTGGGGGGTGGTGCACCCCCCAGTATGTAGTCAGGGTCCCTGCGGGGTGACACTTGCCAGGACGAAGGAACCAGGGATGAGGAGCCAGCCGGGCCAGGTCAGGAAGAGGGTGTGGCATCCCGCAGAGGACTGAACCCGGGGGCTTCTCCTCGAGCTACGCCCCCAGTCTTTTGTTTATTTATTTATTTTTTGGAGACAAGGTCTCGCTAAGTTGCCCAGCCTGGGCTTGAAGTCATGAACCTCCTGCCTCAGCCTCCCAGAACAAGGTCCAGATGGTCTTTTTTAAATGGTCCTTTTCATCCTAGGGAGAGAATCAAGCTGTTAGTACCCACAGGGCATCTACCCAAGTGTTTGCACTTCCAGATGTTTGTTAGTATCTGGGCAGTTTCACTTCTGAGGTTTTCTGAAAGGAACTACTGCAAGAATAATACTATAGAATTGAAAAATCCTAACCAACTTCCTCCAAAGTATTAACATTGTAGTGTTAACGTCAGTGATACTCCATCATCTGTGTGCAATGTGTCCTCTTGGTTTTGAGGCCTGGCGACCCCCTCTCCAGAGGCCTGAGGCTCGGAGCACATTTCAATCCACCCTTCAACCACCTTTCACCCACACATTTTTTTCTCGCCAAATCCCTGAAGTTTCTTTGTCGTTGTTGTTAAATTTACTAATTTAGCCGATGAGAAAGATAAGCTGCATCTGCGAAGTCACCTATCTCTTTAAGCAGCTGATGCCCTGCAAATCAGGATTGATCTGAATTAAGGTGAATGATAAATGTGCCCTGTCACGTGGCCTTCGGGCCTGTGTGGGCTCCCGGGGTGGATTCTCTTTGTCCTCCAGCCCAGGCTGACCCGGGCTCTGCCGTTCCCGCCACCCCGCACCCCGCACCCCGCACCCCGAGCCAACTTTACCTCCCGTGGCCCTCCCGACCCCCCCCCCCCCCCGCCCTGGGGACCTGGAGGCTGGGCGCTGCCTGAGTCACCGGGCCGACACCTGCGGAGTGGGGCTGAGTCTCAGGGAACCTGGCATTTCGCCCCGGGGTTCTCCCCCAGGTGGGCAGGTTGGGGACCCTCCTGGACCCCTGCCGCGGGTCTCTGCGGACCTTTCCCTGTGGGTGCTGCGGGGCGGGCTGCGCCCTTGGCCACGTACCCTGTCTGTCATCGCTGGAGCTGTGGACTCGGGCGCCTTTGTTCCCCAAGAGGTCCAGGCGGCAGAGACCCGGCCTATGCTCTGCGGGTGCTCAAAGGCCGAGAGCGCGGGATGCGGGATGCGCGGCCTGGGCCCCAGCGTGGGGCCGGAGGAGCGCATCCCGGCTGAGGAGATCGGCACGTCCGCTTCCCAAGGTGACCAGAGCCACCGAGCCTGGGGCTGAGAACGGCGCCGCACTTGGGGCCGTGCGAGTGGCGGCTTCCCCACCCCGGCCTGTGCTGGAGGCGGCGGTGCGCATGGCCATGTTAGCACTCTAGAAGTCTCAGCGCTCAGCTTGCAGTTCTGGTTCCGCCGCCCGGACTGTGTCTTGGGGAAGCCAGGCAGGTGTCCAGAGGGCCTTGTCTTCACGTAGGAGCCGGCAAAACCAACTCCGTGTCACGGGCAGACGGAGGCGCCGTTTGAGACTCGGACAACGAGCAAGTGGCACCGAAGCGTGACCGTCCCCGGGTCAGGACGATTGGACAGAGGCGGTCGGAGGCCGGATGGGGCCTCTCTTCCCCCTCCCAGCCAGCACGGGGGAGGAGCCTCGAAGGCATGGTTTCCCGGGTTTCCAGGCCAGGCCTTGGAACTGGCGAATGCAGACACAGAAGCGTGGGCAACCACCCAGCCCTGCGCTGCAGCCGCTCAAGAAGGAAGCCGGGTGGCCCTGGCAGTCTGCCTGGGGAAGGTCCTGAAAGCCAGAGACCCGCCGGCGGGAATGCTGGCGCCAGGCAGCAGGCAGCAGGCAGCAGTAAGCATTCACTGAGCACATCACCTGCAGACACCGGACCCAGGAGTCACCAGGTCCTCCTTCTAAAACTTGAATGTCCCGGGAAGTGTCTAGTCTTGGTGGTTGCCAGAAACCGATGGCATCCTTGTAGCTCTTGGTGTCTCTGGGTACCTCTCTCTGGCCAGCTCACTGGCCAGCTCACTGGCTGGACTTGTGACATTTTCAGGTCTGGGGACCTGGGCTTGCTGTGCCAGATGGAGAACAACATAGATTATTTTTTGTGCATTTTTGGGGAGCTTAAATTGCATTAAACTTGTTTCTTTTCTTTTCTTTTTCCCTTTTTTGTGATGCTCCGGATCAAACCCAGGGCCTAGCACATGCATCAGCTTACATTAAAATGATATGTAATTTCAAGAAATTTTCTAGAATCAGGGAAAGTGGAAAACAAAGAAATACGTTTGGTTTTGAATGGCCCACACTTGGACATAGAGAATGAGTCCTTTGTCAGAAGACCTGCTAAGTACAAACCATTGGCTGCTAAATGGAGATTGTGTATAGTACGTTCATTACAATATTCAGAGCAAAGAACTGGTCAGAGGAGACTCCGACTTTCTCTGATTTGAATAACTCTTACGTGCAGCACTGTAACATACAGCAGAATGTACAACTACAGTGCTGCACTGTGCAGTACAATCAGCAGAATTTACAGCACTTTACTGTAGAAGAAGCCACCATCAAGCTGCACTGCTGCTCACGTCGGTGGGTTGTGAGTTCGAATGATCATTATTAAACAGGTCGGTCAATAAAGGAGGAACATCTGCATGTGTATGATCAGATACAAGGCCTCGCAGGCCTTCCTGATCATGGCTTAATGGGGCTGGGAGTGGAGAGGTCCTGAGTTCATGAAGCCCAGCTCCTTCATTCCTGAAACACCACAACCAGGAGTGATAACCGTCCCCTCGGAGCAGGCATCCCGAGCACTGTGTGTGCGGTGGCCACAGGCTGTCCTCTCCAGGAAGGGGGGCACTGGCTGGATTTTGGGGTGTGCTTAGTTCCTGCCTCAGTGCCTGTGCCCAGTGGGCCCTCTGCCACCATAGATGCACGAACACATGGCGTGTGCCAGGCCCTGCACCAGCTACCCACACCCATACCACCAAGCCACCCACAGCCTGTGGTCCCCCCGCTGCAGCTGGGGAAGCACAGGCTCGTGGGGTGTGAGGAGGTGTGCAGCTGACTGTTGCTGGTGGAAGAGAAAGAATGGCAGTCCATGCCCCCACTTCCCCTCCTGAGGTCCTGCACCAGGAGCCCTTTGTGTGGGAACAGGCACCCTCCTGTGTGCTGACGATCAAACATGGATTGATCTCTGTAAACAAGGCATGCATATCACCAAATTAATTAGTGAAGGTCGTATTTACATTCCAGCAGGCGTCACCTGGAGCCCTGTCTGAGTGAGGATCTCCTCATGTAATGCAGTCAGATGCACTGTCTCTGAACCACAGGCGAGCTCTGAACTCAGTTCCACGCGAATTGCTCTCTTGCGTTTCTAGCGAGGCTGAGCCTCAGTCAGTACTTTTACCAAAGGATAGTTCCACAGAGGCTCTGGGTGCTATGAGCTAATGAGAGACGATCCTTCTAAGCAGAACTGCATGCACAGCTCTCAGAGTGAGGCCGTAACAGCTACTCTTTGTTGACAGTCTCCTCCTTGGCCACGTCTGGTCACTGGCTAGACTATCCATGTCCCCGGTGATTTACAAATCCAAGGGAAAACACGAAATTTATTTTTCCACCATTTCAGGCAGGAGCTCCCCCAGCATTTGCCAGCCCTCCATTTCTGCGATGGACTTTGATTCAATCCAGCCTGAATGGAAGACATTTCATCACCCCAGAATGCATTTCTTTATTTGCCTTGGATCTATGATTCTGTCAGTATTGAGAGAAAAGAAAAATCAATGCTCACTATAAACCTCGGGCTGCCTCTGGCCAGCGTGGTCAGCATGGTGTGAGCAAAGGAAATGGCAGGGGGAAAAATTGACCGCTCAGCAAGAGTGTGGCCAGTAGCGGACACAGCTCAGGGCTAATAACAGCCTGCAATTACACACGGAAAGCAGAGGCGCGGGCGCTTGGTGCGAGGGGGATGGAATACAATTTATTGACCCACTGGTTCGAGTTCTGCAGCTTCTCAATAAAAAGTCGCATTGGCTGCATCCTAAAGCATGGAGCTTGTGTGGACAGGGAAGGGGCCGGGAGACCGGAGGCCATGCCAGGACACTGTGGCCTGCATTTAGAATGTGTCTGTCTGTCAGACGGTGCAGGCCTCAGCTCAGGGACCTGTGTCCGAGGTAATACGGGCGTGCTGGGCAGAGGCGCACACGTGTTTCGGGTGATGTGTCTAGGAACTCTTTATGTTAAGCACCCCCAGGCAGCAGCATTGCTGGTGCTCGCTCCTCGGGGTCCTTCCTGCTGTCACACAGTGCTGCAGGGGAAGTGGCCGGGAAGGGTGAGGCTGCTGCTCCTGCCTGCTGGGTTTAGATGGGCTCATCTTTGGGTGCTGAGACGCTTCCAGGGCTGCCAGCCGCTTCCCACGGGTGCTCCGTCCTTGCTGTGCCACAGGCCCCTTGCACGACCCTCCAACTTCTCCTCTGGGGCCACAGGGACCGCTGCTAGTCCTCAGAGTTTCCTCCAGCTTCTTCTCTGTGGGCAGAAATTGTGTGTCGGGGAAGCACAGGCAGACTAGTTACTTGGAATTTTTACCTAAATAATATTTGTGAGCATGGAGACGCTGGGCAAGACTTTAGGTAAAACCCAGAGGGACCTTGGGCCATGTGCCGATTGCAGAGCAGGAAGCCCAGGGCAGTAAGCATAGTGGACAGCCTCGCCCTGTGGGTCTGGGGGCAGAACAGAGCTCCAGGAGCCACAGGGGGAGCAGGTCCTCGCCCTTCCAGGGCACATCCCGGGGCACAGTGCCGTGCGGACCCTCTGCAGGACCCGTTCGGGTGGAGCTTGGCTCCCTGGCCTGACAGAAGCCCTGCTCTGAGCTTGGTCTGCTCCGAGAGATGAGGGGCTGCATGTGATTAATGGAGCCAAACTAGGTGCCTGGGACCCCGATGTTCCCTCGCGGCAAATTCCCAGGAAGCAGGGACGGGGCAGGTCGGGAGGGAGGTGGAGCAGTGCACTCAGCCCCTCGAGCTCCTGGCCATGCTCTCCACCCTCCCCTGCAGCACAGGCCTCGAGCTCGAACCCTTGCTACAGCTGCTGACCCAGAGGTGTTAGCCAGTCGGCAGCTGCTGTCCTTCTCACATTAATCTGTAGGAATCAATGGACATTTCATTAGAGTAATCAAGTGCGGCTGCATCCTGCATTTATATTCTGTCCCCACCCTGCTGCTCTCGTGCACTAATTGGTCCTACAGCCCAGAGTACACGGGTATTTTTCCCAATAGATGGATGTCAAGAACGGTTTTTACTGCTGGATGAAATCCCTATCGATACGGCCTCGGTGTAAAAGCCCTTGCGTCCAGCCCGGAGCTGTTGATGATGCATTATGCACTCGTGGTCCTAATGCATCTCCTTTCTCCGCATCTCCCTGTACTGTGCCATTTACGTCCTTCTCCTTTGAAGCGTTAACCAGCCCTGGGATGCCTTTGTCTCCATGTGGAGCCCCGGAATGACTTGTCCCCTTTGTAATGTCCCATGTTCCAGGGCCACTCGTGGAAGGGATGGTAAAGGACGTGGCCTGGCCTTTGTTTGGGCTCCATTCTCAGTTCTGCATCTTCCCATCTCACCCTTCAGTGCGCTTGTTTTGGGCCAGGACGACCTGTCAGGTGAAGGGTCCACGGAACCTCTTTGTTCTGAGCAGACGTTTTGTGACTGTGGTTTGGTAAAGCAGACAAAAGAAGATCCTGTTTCCCTCGCTGGAAATGTGTGGCCAGGCATGGTAATGGTCAGCGGCTGGCAGAGAAGAAAGGTCAACTGGACCAGAGCTCGGAAGGAAAACAGGAGAGGTGGTGGCGGGGCTGTGTGGTTGGGCCTGGAGGGAGGACCCAGGCCTGGCCAACCCTGACCTCCCCTCACTGCCTGCCCCACGTGCCTGCAAAAGGGGGAGGCTCCTGCTCTGGAGAGGAGGGGAGGCTTTGATGCCCCAGAAATGCAGAGGGGCTGGGTTGACCAGTGGGCCCTTCTTGGAGGAGTTGGCTTCCCGGGAATGGAAGGAAGGGATTGGTGTGCTCAGAGAACAAGCTCAGTTGTCCTCAGGAAGACAAAGGAGGCCATGGAGCAAAGGTCAGGGCTGGCGGTCCTCGCTGAAGCCCTGGGAGCGGGGGAGAGGCACAGAAGCCCCAGGGGCAGGCTCCTGTTGATGACTGTTCCATGCCACCAGTGTTCTCTGAAGACAGATGTGTGATGGCGACTACTCACCAGCTGCCTGCTCCCTCCCGCTATCCCCCACCCCTCCTTCCCTTCCTTTGTGGAACTGATGCTGAAGCCAGACCTTTGCAGTGAGCCACATCTCCAGCCGTTTTGTTTTACTTTGAGACAGGGTCTTGCTAAGCTGCCCAGCTTGGGTTCAAACTTGCAATCCTCTTGCCTCAGCCGCCACACCAGGTTCCTGTCCTTGCTGGGACCCTTGGCTGTTCCCAGCTGTTGGGGTGACCGAGCAGTGCCGGCTGCTCCCAGAGCTCCAGTCAGAGGCCCCTGGCTGGCTCCACCGAGGCTCCCTGTGTGGCAGGCTGCGGAGCCCTTGCAAGCC